CTTTGATGACCTGTTCTTTCCACTGGGATCTCACTCGCGGAGATCTTTCATTGAGGTCATTTTTTTTATTTGAAGTTTTTGTATAGAAATAGTTCTGTATTTTCATATCTTCATGTCCATGATGGTCTTAGTACATTTCCTAATGTACCATTCTTGTATTCCTGGAATATATTCAGCTTTATCATGATAGGTTATTATGTTTTTTACTCCATTAGATTAGATTTGGTTTAGCAAATCTGTATCTATGCTCATGGTTTGTCAGTATTTTTCTCCATGTATGCTATCAATGTCAGATTTTAATGTTAGAGCTATATCAGTTTGTATAAAATGAATTGAGCGTTTTTCCACATATGTGTAGGGACAGTTCACATAACAGAAAAACTATGTTTCTTCTCTCAACTCTCCTATGTCACAATCTGTGCCTGGTGCCTGCTTTCAGAGGTTGATGGTTCTGGCATAGGATTAAGAATAGGTAATCTAGACCAATAAGAAAAATGAAATACCCAGAAATTGATCATTATTTTTATATTTATAAATAATTATTATAACACAATATTTATTTATATATTTATAATGATAATTATTTTATATTTTATATTTATATTTATAAAAATTATCAACTTAGGGAGAGAAGATACAATCACAAATGATGTGGGGAAAATTAGCTGTCTATTTGGAAGAAATTCATATTAGAACACTACTTCTAATACCACAGTAAAATATAAAATCCTGTTGAATTAATAATATTCACATGAAATTAAAGCTATTAAAGCATTTGAAGAAAATATGGGAAATATTTTTATTACTTCTGTAGGCTTTCTTATGATAATTGTGACTAGAGCCATAAGAGAAAGTTTGACAGATTTATCTACATAAAAATGAAAAAATATTTGGATGCAAAAGACACTAAAGTCATAGGAAAATAACAGACAAACAAACAATATACCAGGAGATATTATCTGCAGTAATTGTTAAAGACAGAAGGTTTTTAAAAATCGTCTGTTTAATGACAAAAAGATAAAGCTCAATAGAAATTTTGAGCATTGTATGTGACACATGAATAGTAAATATCTCCACTGTCAGATAGAAAAATGTAAATTAAAGTAACAATTTACCATTTTTTGGTTCTTAACTCTTCTAAATTTAAGCAATTGCTAATAACCAGAGCCAACAGAGGTGGATCTTTTTTGAATATTGTTGGTAGAGGAATAACTTAATTACCAGTATCTCTTAAGTGTTTAAATATATAGCACAGTTTGATCCAGAATTTACCCTATAGATAAATATAATACCTTGAGTATTTGTAGTTCATATTTGTGTCTGTTTATATGTATGTGTTTGTAAATACATTTGTTTAAACTTATGAAAAAATTGCAAACTATGCACATAAATTTTTAATACAGCAGTGAGGAGTAGTTCCTTTGGATGAAGATATTGGATAGATATATTTTTAATGACAAATATACATATAATTTAGTTATCATTCATTCATTATTAGTGTAACAGCTCAGATAAGTACAGTTAGAACTAGTTAAAAATAAAGTAATTTGAATTAACAGTTAGTTTCTATTGCATTTCTGTCATTTATCTGTACCTATATAGGATTTAGAAAAGTACTTAATATGTCAGATATAAAGGTTGTTGTGAGCCACTTAATCTATTTATTTCATATACCCTTTGTGGAGTGCATTTTAAAGGTATTAAAATGACTTCTTCCTGTGTAAAAAGAAATTAGCACTAGTCCCTAGAAGGAATAGTTATGGTAGAGAATTTAGAATTTTGAAGAATTGAATATTTTAAATATAGATAAGAGTATTTAATTTTAGAATTTTATATACATGTGTGATACTTGGAATGTGGTAAACTACCATTTGAGCAGCTATGTCTTTATTTATATTTTGTAGTTCTTAGCTGAGTAAGCAATATTTAGTTCATTATTTCATGTGGGTTGATTAATTCATAACTGTTGTAGCATTTGGTCATTTGTTGCACCAAGCTATATGGTTTAATTAAGTCCTATTTCTGATAGTTTCCAAAAATGATATGAAATATTTAATAAGTTAGGTTCATTATGACTCTTTAAACAATTTAGTCAAAGTTTAGTTGTTAGAATAATATATGCATACGTTTTCTTTGATAAATACAGTGTTCCACCCTTATCTATAGGGGATACCCCAAGACCTCCAGCAGTAAATGCCTGAAACCACAGCTACTCCTGAACCTTTTAAATATTTACTTTCATTTGCTTGAAAGACAGAGAGACAGACATACACGGAGAGAGAGGGAGACGGAGAAAGAGCTCTTGTTTGCTGTTTCACTTCCCAGATAGCCCTAACAGCCGGGGCTGGGCCAGATCGGAGCTTGGAACCTCAGACTCCATCTGGGTCTCCAACATGAGTAGCAGGGCCCAGGCCCTTGAGCTATCATCTGTTGCCTCCCAGGATTCATTAGCAGGAAACTGGACTGGAAGCAGAGGTTCCAGGACACAAACCAGCATACTAATGTGAGATGTGGGTATCCAAAACAGCAGCGTAACTACTGCACCACAGTGCCTACCTGTATTGAGTCTTACATGTTTTTTAATATACATACATACCTGTGATAACGTTTAATTTATACATTAGGCACAGTCAGAGATTAACAGCATCAATACTAGAACAGTTATAACAATGTGAATGTGATCTCTCTCAAAGTATATTTTTGTACTTAAATCTTTTCATTTAAAGGAAGCAATTTATATAAAGCATCCTTTGGGCATTTCTGAAATGCCAAACACTGGGATACCACAACAGTCAAACTGAGAACTGAGATGGCTCCTAACTGAGTAACTGACTAATGGTTGGATAGTGTACTTAGGGTGGATATGCTGCACAGAGGGATGACTTATGTCCTGAGAAAGATGGTACATGATTCCATGAAACCCTCAGAACAGTGTGCAATTTGAAATTTTATGAATAGTTTATCTTGGAATTTTCCACATTTAGTGGTAACCAAAGCAACCACAGGTAACTGAAACCACAGAAAGCAAAAACTATGGATAAAGGAGGATTACTATACATTGTTATTGTTTTTTTAAAGATTTATTTATTTATTTGAAAGTCAGAGTTAGAGAAGGAGAGGCAGAGGGGGAGAGGTCTTCCATTCACTGGTTCACTCCCCAATTGGCCACAAGGTCTGGAGCTGTGCTGATCCAAAGCCAGGAGCCAGGAGCTTCTTCCAGGTCTTCCATGTGGGTGCATGAGCCCAAGGACTTAGGCCATCTTCTACTGCTTTCCCAGGCCATGACAGAGAGCCGGATCGGAAGCAAAGCAGCCAGGACTCAAACTGGCACCCATATGGAATGCCAGTTCTGTAGGCAGCAGCTTAACCTGCCATGCCAGAGCACCAGCCCCTCTACATTATTTTTATATTGATTCAGTTGACAATCCTGCTTGATAATATGGACAGTATTCCCATGGCATTTCTTTCCGGAACTTTAGGAATATTATTTCAGACCACTGAATATCATTTAGAACAGAGGCTGGCATTATGACCCAGTGGGGTTAAGCTGCCATTTGCAATGCTGGCATCCCATATCAGAGTGCCAGTTTGAGTCCTCGCTGCTCTACTTCTGATCTAGCTTCCTGCTAATGTGGAAGATAGTGCATGATGGCACAAGTACCTGGACCCCTGCCACCCATGTGGGAAACCAGGACAGAGCCTGGCCCAGCACTGGTTGTTGTGGGCATTCTGGGAGTAAAACAGTGAATGGAAGATTCATTCTCTCTCTCCTCCCTCCCTCCCTCCTTCCCTCCCTCTCTCCCTATTAATCTTCCTTTGAAATAAATAAATCTTAAAGAAGAATAAGGCTCAGCAATCCATGGACTAAATTTGGCCCACTGCCTATGTTTGTAAATAAAGTTTTGTTGGGATACAGCCATCCCATGTACTTATTGTCTATGATACCTTCATGTTAGAGACAGAGTCTAGTTGTGACAGATACTATGTTGTCTCAGGGCTTAAACTACCCTCTGCTTCTCACACAGACAGGTAGCTAGCCCCTGCTATAGCAGATTAGAGTAGTGACTGAAGGTTGCTTTACATACCTGTATCTTGGTTCTTAAGGGACTATTTGGACAAATTCTGATTATGTTCATGAGTGTCAGTTTTGTGCTAGGCACAGTTGTAGATATAACAGTAGATATAACAGAAAAATGCATATACTGTCCCTGCCCTCAGGAATCTAGCCTTCTATTATAGAGGAGATGGACAGTTAGCCATGACTTGTTTCTTCATGAGACAGGCTGTCCTTTTTCTTTTTTGATTACATGATTCATGGCTTTGTTAACAAAACATCACATTGATTCAGTTTTGCAAACTGTGTTGAACTTTAGGATTTTATAGTACACAGTCTTCATCATTATTGGGACTTTTTTCTTCATGCACAAAATCCGTGGAGGTCATTCTCCCTTTTGGATTGTTTGTGTTCTTATCTGTCTTTAAAATAAATTCCTCACTGTGGATGTTAGGGGATCAATAAGTTCAGGTAATGTTCATTTCTTAGCTGTGTATAAGATGTTCTGTTGGAGAAATTCAGTGCTACAGTTTAAAAACCATATATATATGTAAATATATGTATAAACTAACATTATCAAGTACTCTGCTAAATACTTTGTACATCTTCGTTATCTTCTGTTTACTCTGTGAACTACTACAGTTCACATTTTCTGTATGATGAAAGTGTTGTTCAGAGAGATGAACCAAAATGAGTTAAGGGGTGGATTCCACACAGGTGTACTGGCTTGGAAAACTCCAGGGCTAAAGCTCTTGGCCATTGTGATTCTTAATTCTTTTTGAGATTTGCAAATAAATGTTTCTAAGATGGAATTACTTTAACTGGGACTTTAATTTTACTTGCCTTTTTATCTCTCTTCTTGGTGTAGATTATTGACATTTGAAGATACAGAAGATAATTCTCATGCTTTTCCTTATGTGTATCTATATGTTTTTGTGTATTTAAGATAACAATGTAATCCAGGGAAGTGGAAAAGATGGAATCTGTGAAAATAAAACCCAAGTAAATATATCACAGCAAGGAAGAAAACGATCGATTTCATCAGGAAATTCAGAAAGTACATTAGCAGAACAAAACACAGGAAAAAAGTACAAAAATGCTGATCAAGAAGAATCTGCCATTTCATCCAAGGTGATTTTTAAAAATTCATTATTTGGTTCTTTTCTTTGTCAAGTGTCCTAGATCGGAATTAATTACATGCTGTATGCAGCAGGAAAAAACTAAAACTGCTTTTTATTATTGAGTTTATGACAATGAAAACTAGCCCCCCCTTTTTTTGGCTTACTAAAACTAATATTTACTGTAGATTTTGCATTATAGAATATAAATTAATAAATTTTGAATTCTTCAGGCAGAAGAAAAATGGAGACCACTTACCTCTGATCCAAGTATAGTCCCTCCACTCTGAAAATCTGGCTTCTTTTATTCCATTGATCATTCTGAAACTGCTTGTAACTACTTTTTTCTTGCTAAGTAGAAGGAGAACAAATGATGGGATAGATCTTTTTTTAAAGGTTTATTTATTTATTTGGAAGAGTTAGAGAGAGGGAGAAACAAAGATCTTCCATCTGCTGGTTCACTCCTCAAATAACCACAATGACCAGGGTGCCCATATGAGATGCTGGCATTGCAGGTGGTGGCTGTATCTGCTACACCATAGTGCCAGCCCATGATGGGATGATTCTTAATACTCTGTTGTAGGATCACTTCTGGGAGAATTTATTGTATTTGTACAACTTCTCTTTGCTCTTTCAGTTTTTGCTGACTCAATAATATGATTTGCTTAAATTATGTACTTTTAAAATATTTATTTATTTATTTGAATGACAGAGTTACAGAGAGGGAGGGAAGGAAGGGAGAGAGAAAGAAAGATCTTCCATCTGTTGATTAATTCCCCAAATAGCCACAATGACCAGAGCTGGATCAGGCTAAAGTCAGGAGCCAGGAACTTCTTCCAGGTCTCCCAGGTGGGTACGGGAGCCCCGGATTTGGGCCATCCTCAGGCGCTTTCCCAGGCACATTAGCAGGCAGCTGGATTGGAAGTGAAACAACCAAGATTTGAACTGGTGCTCATATGAGATGCCAGTGCTGCAGGCTTTAGCTTAACCTGTTGCACCACAGACCTGGCCCCTAAATTAAGCATACTTTATCAGTGAGAACTCTAAAAAGTTGAGACCTATTTATTGCATGCATTTGAAAATAGAGAAAGACAGAGATGGCCCCAGGACAGAAAGTTCAGACAGTTTTCTTGATTTGAGCTTTGAAGGTCCCTATCTTTTTAGTCTCAGGGTGAGCCAAAGGAATAGGATTGGTATTAGAGGAGTTTGTACTGGAAAGGTTGAAATGTCGGCAGCTATACTAAAGGTCATTCATTTTATATACTGCTCTCACTCCTGCGTCTTCTCCCAGGGAGAGGACCCACCTTCTTACTGGACCTTCACTTTCAGGTAGAGAAGTGAGGTATAGTCATTATAGACTCAAGTCCATTGCCTATTTGTGGAGTCAGATTTAATAAATGAAAGCAGAGTGTTTTCTAGCTCTTGTATATTGGCATTAAAACATTAAAATAAACTTGTTTTATGTAAACTTTGGCCCTCATACACTGAATTCTCTTAACTCTGAACATATCAATTGGCTTTTCCTTTTTTTTTTTTTCTAAGAGGAGAATTATTTTGTTCAGAAGAAAATTTGTAGTATGCATGTTTCACTGTATTTATTCCAACATATAAAGTTTGAAAGCACCAAAAAGACTTTGAGAAGTATGCTCTTAATTGATAGATTGTAGAGAGAAGCAGTAAACAGATCCAAGACATTCAAGGTGTGTATGAGGTTTTGATGACATGAAGGGAGTGCTAAAGCCAGGTCTTAGGAATGCCTCAGCTCTACTTGGCCCATTGGTCTTCCTTCTCTTAAGGGTTATGAGGGAGATTTCTCTCTCCTTGCACAGGAGAAACAAGGCTCAAGGTTTGATAATAATGTTCAGGATTCTGGTAAAGCTGGGCCAGAGAGCGGGACTGAGACGTAAGACCCAAGTGGGGTCTTCTAAACCTACCCTCCATCCCTGCCCAGTTTCAGTTGTACCACTGGTGAGCAGCTAATCCTGAAGGGATAGCTACAGTGCAGAGCAAGTGAGAGGGAAAAGTTGAACATGAGAAAAAAAATGGAGACTGGGCCCATCTTTCCACTCTATGGGTGGAGGCTGCCAATGATAAAGGACTAAGAACAGTTTTTGCTAGGCCTGCAGAGTAGGCTTAGGTCCATTTACTTGGGAAGAATCAGTTGTATTCTCTTAGGGAAGAAGGGACAGTGACTAGTGAGTACTAGGCCTATATCTGAGATTCTGATTCATTTGATCTGTTGGGCATAAATATCAGTAGAATCTAAAACTCCCCCAATTTTAATGTGCCTCAAAGTGGAGGACTAGTGGTACACCATCATTGAACACCTCAGAGGGAACTGAGGCACAAGTTAACATTGCAAGGGAGCTTGAATCTCAAACTATGCAGGTCTTTTTGTTTGAAGTATAATGGATTTTTTCCACAATAGATATTTGACTGTATGCGAGAGTTTTATGACTTTTATAATTTCTGTTCATGAAAGTAATTGTTCTAAAACAGTCCATTTTTTCGTCAGTTCTTATTTGTCTTTTGGCAACTTTTTACCAGTTTTGCAATTGTTTATTTAGCAGTAAAATGAGAGTGCTTGAGTTGATTAACTTTGATGAAAAGGAGAGTTGTTAGGCATATTAGTCCATTTTCTGTTGCTGTAAGAAAATACCTGAGGCTTAGTATCTTAATAAAGAAAAGATGTTTATTTAGCTCACAGTTTTAGAGGTCCAAGACCGTGGTGCCAGCATCTTCTAGCTTTAGTGAAGACTTCTGGCTGTATTATAGCATGGCAGATGGCATAATGATGGGAGCTCATGCAAGAAGGAGAGATCACATGGCAAAAGAGAAAGCCAGAGACCTGGGAAAGGCCAATTTTGCTAATTTTTTTAAGGATTTATTTATTTATTTGAAAGGGAGAGTTACAGAGAGGCAGAGGCAGATAGAGAAAGAGAGAGAGAGAGTCAGCTTTCTGTTTGCTGGTTCACTCTCCAAATGGCTGCAATGCCCAGAGCTGGGTTTATCTGATCTGAAGGCAGAAGCCAGGAGCTTCTTCTAGGTCTCCCATGTGCAATCTTGCTTGTTTTGTAACAACCTATTCTAGCAGGGTCCTGCCAGAACTGCATTGATCCTTTCCAAGTGGAGCACTTCCAATGACCTAATCACTTTCCTGTTAATGACCTCAACACCTCCCATCATAGCCACACTGGCACCAAGCTTCTAGCACATAAATAAGAGGGGCACAACCCCAAACCACATCAAAACTGTGGTTTGAATATTTGTGTTCCTTCCAAAAACTCATGCTCTAATTTAATCCCCAATGCGATAGTATTTGGAGGTGGGGCCTAATGGTAGTGTGTAGAACATGATGACTCCACTCATGAATGGATCAATACTGATATAAAAAGGACTTACAGAGATTAGTTTGCTTTCATTCATTGTTCTGCCATGTGAGGAGGCACACCAGCAACTTGATCTTGAACTTGCCATACCTTAGAATTATGGAAGAATAAATTTCTGTCCTTCATAAATTAAAAAAGAAAAAAGCAAAGCATGGACTAAGACAATGGTATTTCTGTTACATTATCTAATTTAAACATGTTTCAGAAGGATGCCCAACTGAAACATCTTAGGCAAAATAGGATTAGAAATGTATCAGCTGTCTATTGCTGTGATACAAAGTTTCCCCAGCACTTAGTGGCTTAATACACAATGATTTTTTTAAAAGATTTATTTATTTATTTGAAAGGCAGAGTTACACAGAGAGGAGAGACACAGAGAGAGAGAGAGAGAGAAAGTCTTCCATCTACTGGTTCACTCCCCAAATGGCCACAATGACCAGAGCTGTGCCTATCTGAAGCCAGGAGCTAGGTGCTTCTTCTAGGTCTCCCACATGGGTGCAGGAGCCCAAGGTCTTGGGCTGTCTTCTACTGCCTTCCCAGACCATAGCAGAGAGCTGGATCGGAAGTGGAGCAGCTGGGACTCGAACCAGTGGCCATGTGGGATGCCGGCACTGCAGGTGGTGACTATCTGCTATACCACAGTGCCAGCCCCACAATTATTTAGTTTTTAAGTGCATGGATTGACCGCAGTCAGTTGGGCCATTCTTTTATGATATGCTTTATGCTTTTGTTTTCAGCTGTACTGTGTTCGACTGGGTCCCAGCTGAGCCTGGAGCCTTAAAAATGGCTTTACTCACATGAATCATGCCATAGGAAGGTTGATGAGGTGACTAGGGATTGGCTGGGCCTACCTTCATCCACTTAAAATTAAGTAGTACAGACTGAGCTTCTTTACTTGGCAGCTTGATGCCAAGGGGTTGAAAGTAGAAGCTGTCAGATTTGTTAAGGCCTAGGACTAGAACTGGCATAGTGTTGTTTCTGCTGTGTTCTTTTGTTCAGAGAGTTACCAGGCCCAGGTAGATTGGACAGCAGGTATAAGAGCAAAGGGGATACAAACACTATGCTGAGAATTAGGATTCTTAGAATTCTTGGTGCAAAGTAGGGCAAGCATTGTGAGTTGAGAGTGTAGCCTGCGGTGGGAACCAGTTTGTCAGTGGCCAGACCTTGAAATGTTTTCTGGCACAGAGGTAATTCTGGCAGTTCTCTAGAGGAGAGATTCAAAGAGAGCAAGACTGAGAGCTGAAGGAGATTATGGCATTAATGCAATCAAGGAATTCAGAGACTGAGCTAGGGCAGGGACTTTAAGGATGATGAGAAGGCACTGAGTTAAAACTGTTTAGGAAGCACAACTGTATGACTTGTTGCTTAGGTCTGGGAAGAGTTAGGGAAAGAGACTGAAGGATAGGTTTTCAAATTTCTAGCTAGGCTAATGGGTAAATTCTGTTGACAGAAAAGTGTAGTAGAGAATACAGAGGTAGGATTTCGGTTTTGACATTTTGAACTGAGATGCGTGTTCACTACTCACTGAATGTAGGAGTGTGAAGCTCAGGAAGAAGTTGGAGCCCAGAGTAGTCATTGGCACATGGGTGCTAATGGAACTGAGGCAGGACTTTGAAGGCAGCCCAGACTGTCTTGCCAAGGGTGTCCTGGAAGCAGCAGCACATTACCTCACCAAACTTGTATTAGGGAGAGGTTCTTTTTCCTGTCTTTTGTAGTACATTAAAACTTGAGATGGTTGAAGGGCAGGGATTGCCTTGGTGCACAGACTAATGGGCTATTTTAATAGCCTTACTAGTACACACCAACCACTTCTAAGCACATCTTCCACTGGCTCCGAGTTGAATGAGGTCTTATCCCCAGTCCATGAGGTCTCTAACATGTATTTTACATTGTAGAGGATCTAGTCTCTGAAGCATGAGTCTCCATCCTTCCACACTTAATCCTTTACATTGTCATCTAATCTAGTAAGCTGATGTGGGACGTTTAGGAAAAATAGGGCTCTCTGTATTTCTCCTGTTGCTTCCAAATACAGAGTATCTTCCATCTTTCCTGTTCCCTCACTTTTTTTTTCTTAATTTATTGTCAGGTGGTGACTTGCTGTAGTTCATGAACTTTGAAATTGGCACAGTACAAATTTATGTCTCCTCAAACTTAGAAATGACTACATGTAATGGATTTTTGGGATCATTTATAAATAATTGAAACCATGAATGTTAAATTCTTGAATGCTAAGTTCCACTGTATATTAATATTTTATGGCACTCCATAAAGAACATTATGAATTTTAGCTTTTGTGCCTCCCAAAGTATATTTGAGAACCCCTGATCCATAGTATTTGACTAACATTCTGTTCTGTTTTAGAATAAATTAACGTGTTAAATGTACTCCTTGTGAAGATGTTCAAATTTTTGTAATAAATAAAATCTTTCTTTATATTTCATAGAAATAGAGGGGGTTGAAATATGATGCTACACGTTCATTTTTTTTTTTTTTTTTTTGGACAGGCAGAGTTAGACAGTGAGAGAGACAGAGAGAAAGGTCTTCCTTCTGTTGGTTCATCCCCCAAATGGCCATTACAGCCGGCACTGCGCCGATCCAAAGCCAGGAGCCAGGTACTTCCTCCTGGTCTCCCATGCGGGTGCAAAGCCCGAGCACCTGGGCCATCCTCCACTGCCTTCCCGGGCCACAGTAGAGAGCTGGCCTGGAAGAGGGGCAACCGGGACAGAATCTGGCACCCCAACCTGGACTAGAACCCAGGGTGCCGGCACCGCAGGCGGAGGATTAGCCTAGTGAGCCGCGGTGCCAGCCCATGTTCCATTTTTTTTTAAGATTTATTTGAAAAGGCAGATTACAAAGAGAGAGAGAGGGAGAGAGGGAGAGGAAAAGAGAGAGAGAGAGAGGTCTTTCATTTGTTGGTTTACTGCTCAAATGACTACAATGGCCAGGGCTAGGCCAGGCCAAAGCCAGAAACCAGGAGCTTCTTCTGGGTCTCTCATGTGGGTGCAGGGGTACAAGCACTTGGGCCATCCTCCATTGTTTCCCCAGACACATTAGCAGGGAGTTGGATCAGAAGTAGAGCATCTGGGACTCGAATTGATGCCCATGTGGGATGCTGGTGCTGCAGGCAACAGCTTAACCCAATATGCCACAGTGTTGGCCCCACATTTCGTTTATTATATTTCATTTCTTTGGTTTTTCATTTCTTATATGGCAAAATAATACATGCTTATTGTGAAAATAATGTTCAGAAGTGTGTGAAGAGTAAAGCCTCAATTTGTTTCATCATTTGATCCTGCTGCCTTATTACTATTTTGGTTTATATTCTAAATGTTTTCATTTAGATTTATTTACACAAGTAATGTATACACATAGACATATAAGGATTTTATTTTTGCGGAGGTGGCATCATAGTGTCTGTATCATTCTTATTTGGTTACAGTTATCTGTGGATGTCATTATTATTTTAATGTCTGCATGGTGTTTCATAGTAAGAATCAATTCTGATATATTTAACCACTTCCCTAGTTGTATTTTTTCCTATTATAAATGTTTTTTCCTTTTTCTGTTATAAATGTGATGGGATATTGAGTGGGTTCTTGCCCCCATTATCCCCAAAGTGCTACTGAGGCGCAAAGCTGGGTACAAAAGCACTAACTGTAAATATCCCTTGTTTGAAATGAAGCCCTTTCACTGCAGGGCATATTAAAAGGTATGAGAAATGTTCACCATCCTAGCCCTAGGCTTCATAGAAAGAGAACTGAGAAGCTAGAAAGTTTAAGGTTTAGGGGAGTAGAGTGTTTGTGGGGAAAGGTTACTTCCACCCTTTCTGAAATCAAGAGAAGAATGGTGTTCCAAGAGAATTACTTGTGGAATTTAGAAATGCCTGTATGAATGAGACTGGCATTTTATTGAACATCTGCATAGCCAGTGGATTTACTGACCCATCCCTTTACTATCTGAACAGGGACAAATTAAAAATTGAGGAGAGCTGTTCAGTGGGACTGATGAGTGGAGGGGTGGATTGTTGGCACGTGCAAACTTGTCTGTAGTGAAAGGGATGCAATCAGGATGTTGTTGGGCAGTTTGGAAGCAGCGTGCATGTTTAGAAGATTATGGCATGTGTGGCATCAGACCAGCGTCAACTACGAGAGATAACCAAGTAATTACTTTCCCTGTAGGTGTCTGTTACTCCTCAGAACAATGATAAGGCCTACGTTTCTTTTACAAGGTCATTAGTCAGTTCGGATAGCACTGTAAGGTTACATATGTGTTTCTTTAAAACAAACAAAAAATATTAAAACATATATATATATAATTATTCCTAAAGAAGCTATTCTAATGATATCACACTAAGAAATTTTGGCTATTAGATATAAAGTAACATCAAAATGAGCTTTCTCCAGATGGCAAGCAGGGCACATGTGTCCTTTGTTATAAATGAGAGTAAACATTCATGTGTATCTGCTGTGTTATCATTGCATGGCAGATGATTACCAGGGGGGATGGAATTTATCTGAGCAGTGTGTCTGCTCCACAGGAAGTACATGTAATCAAGAGGTCATTTTTAACAAGACTAGGCTTATTCTTTGTGTTTGTTGTACGTACAAACCAAAAAGGTCCTGTAGTGCTAGAGGGAATGTTTAATTGGTTCAAAGCACCTTAAAACTGGTTAAAATAAAATTTTTGTTCAGATCATTTGAAAAGGAATCATTTTTTCTGACCTAGTGATGACATAGCTTCCTTCAAATATTTCTGTGAGGGTAGAACAATTTTATCATTCAGCAGGGAAAATCATGATATTTAGATGGTAGAAACAATGTATTACAGTAACTTATTGGAAATTATAAGGACAGTGCTTACTTGTGAAGAGAATGACATGTTGTTTAATAGTGACATTTAAGAACTATTCTGCAGATTGTTTTAAAATTATTAAAGTAGAGCCATAGAACATATTGCTATTTTTAGTAACTTTAAAATGTGAAACTTAAGTTTTTCAAATATATATATTTCATGCATGTTGTTGTTTCATCCTTTTATGCTTAAATTTTTATATTTCTTTTTAATATGTTTCATTTATTTCTGATTTTTATAATTTGACTTATAGGAAAGACCACAAATATTTTCTGCAGTCACATTAAGTAGCACAGAGATGAATAACATGAAGACTATTGCACAGAGAGACGAAACTCCAATAGAAGAGCTTGGTGAGGTTTCTGAACATAAACTCACCACTAAAGAAACAGCAGATAAAGAAGACCAGGCAATAGGTGGTTCTGAAAGCTATCCAGCTCAAGACAAATCATTCCCTGTTGAGTCTGCAGGACCTCATCCTGAATCTGGCTCGGCTCCCACCAGTCCTGAAACTTTGCATGCAAAGGCTGCTGACTCAGTTCCAGAAGGTTCTGATGAAAACAAAGTCAAGAGGACATCCTGCATGTATGGGGCAAACTGCTACAGGTAAAATGAAGTTATGGGTGGCAAACAATTTCTTTATTTGAACAGCATGTGGCTATCTATATAGGTATTAGGTATAGTGTATTAAAAACCTCATAAAAACCCATTGGCCTTTACTATATTTCTATTGGTTTGCAGTTTCTCAGTGTTCATTCTAGCCAATCCTGCCAGAGGGAGGGAGGGAGGGAAGGAGGAAGGAAGGTGTCTTTCATCTGTTTGTTCACTCCCCAAAAAGCCGCAATGGCTGGAACTGTGCTGATCTGAAGCCAGGATCCAGGAGCTTCTTCTGGGTCTCCCACGCAGGTGCAGGGGCCCAAGCACCCAGGCCATCCTCTACTGCTTTCCCAGGCCATAGCAGAGAGCTGGATCAGAAGTGGAACAGCCGGGATTAGAACCAGCACCCATATGGGATGCTGGTGCTGCAGGCAGATGCCTAACCCACTATGCCACAGCAGCAGCCCCCAGAGGCTTTTAAGATAGAATAGGGAATTAAATATTTTATAAGTAGACATGCTGATAGATGGAAGGACCTGAATACTTAGGAATCCAGACTTGAAATTCACTCAGACTTAAATATCTACTTATTTAATGTCTTTATGTCAGAGAAATGGCTTAATAAATAGTTGTGTACGGCCTAACTATTAAGGTACATTTCAGGTCCAGGTGGAGTTTAGGATGTCTTCTCTTTTTTTTTTTTTTTTGGACAGGCAGAGTTAGACAGTGAGAGAGAGAGAGAGTTAAGGTATCTTATTGTGTGTGTACATTTTTCTTTATTCTTCCTGTTACTCTTTGGATCACCATGGTACCCTCTAAAATAACTGAGAATGTATTTCCTGGGTTCATTGGTTTCTCACATGCTTCCTGCATTTTAATACATTATACTATGTTTTAATTTCATATCTATTTAATTTCATATCTTGTGACTTTCAATTATAACCACTTAGTTTTAGACTAGAGTTTCATCTATAATGTTTATAGTAGCTGGTATTTAACTACATAGCCCTATTTTAAGATAATTCTTTCCCACCCAGCCTGTTAAACTCAATAACAATGCATTCCAGTAGTTTGATGTCCTCTATGCAATAGTGTATTTACATCAAATCTTCTCTTTATTTCAGGTTCATAGTATTTTTAATGTATTACTATTTTAGTACTTAAATATTTTCAATTTCAACATTTCTATGCATTTTCACACAGTTTGTCTATTTTCAATGGGTTTCATTCTCCATCTAGGATATAATATAAAAACTTGTCAAATACAAGCAAATAATCTTCTGTTACTTTGGATTTTGAAAAATCCTATTTGGTTTTTGTATTAGTTTGCTAAAGCTGCTATACCAAAATGCCAGTCTAGGTTGGGAGACTTAAACAATGGAAACTTTCTCACAGTTCTGGAGTCTGGAGGTCTTAGCTCATGGGTGGGGAACATCCAGCTCCCAGGCCATCTGAGACCTGTGAAATCATTTGGTCTGGCCTTGCCAAGACAACTGGAGGCAGGATTTGGAATTCAGTTTTTAAGTTGATAATTTGTATGGCCCATGAATGATGTTATAAATATCCAAATGGCCCCTGATATGAAAAAGGTTCCCCATTCCTGTCTTAGATAAAGGTGTCACCAAGTTTGATTTCTTCTGAGACCTCTTGTCTCTTATGAATGACTGCATCCTCACGATGTCCTTATTTGGCCTTCTGTGTGTGCTCACACATCTCTGATGTCTCCATCTAATAAGGATACCTTATTAAACTTAATTAACCTTAATTATCTTTTTACAGGCTCCATCTATTCCCTTGGGGAATAGAACTTCAACATAAGAATTTTGAGGGGATACAGTTCAGTTTATAATACAGTTAAAAAATCATAGTGATTATCTCGATAGAGAAAATTCTTTGATAAAATTCAACAGCTGGTGAGGGTACTATGGCACAGTGGGTTAGGTTGCCACTTACAGTGTGGGCATCCTATATACGAGTGCTGGTTCAAGTCCTGGCTCCTCTGCTTCTGAATCGGCTCCCTGCTTATGTGCCTGGGGAAACAGATGATTATGGCCCATGTACTTGAGCCCCTGCCACCCACATGGGAAACCCGGTTGGAGTTTCAGGATCCTGACTTCAGCCTGGGCCAGCCCCAGGCATTGCAGCCATTTGAGGAGTGAACCAGTGGATGGGAAAATCTGTGAATCTCCCTCTCTCTCTCTCTCTCTCTCTCTCTGTCACCTTTCCAAATAAGTAAATCTTTAAAAAATCTAAACAACACATTTATGAAACAAATTTGTTGTTTTTTAGTGTTCCAGTAGATTTATTCTACTAGCAGAAAACATCTTTCCTGGATCATTGTCATCCTCATTCAAACACACCCTAGTGTTTCTATTTTTTAAAAAAATTATATTTTAATTATATTTTATTTAAGTTATACAAGTTTCATATATTTCCTTTATATTGTGACAGGAACATAGTGGCATTATCCCCTCACCCATGCTCTAACCTTTCTTTCCCTCCCTCTTGTATTCCCACTCTTAATTTTTACAGTGATTTTTTTTATTAAAATTTTTTAAAATTTATTTGACAGATAGAATTAGACAGTGAGAGAGAGAGAGAGAGACAGACAGAGAGAAAGGTCTTCCTTCTGTTGGTTCACCCCCCAAATGGCCGCTATAGCAGGCGTGCTGCGCCAATCAGAAGCCAGGAGCCAGGTGCTTCTCCTCGTCTCCCATGCAGGTACAGGGGCCCAAGCACTTGGGCCATCCTCCACTGCCCTTCTGGGCCACAGCAGAGAGCTGGACTGGAAGAGGAGCAACAGGGACTAGAACCTGGCACCCATATGGGATGCCAGCGCTGCAGGCGGAGGATTAACCAAGTGAGCCACAGTGCTGGCCCCTACAGTGATTTTTTTTTTTTTTAGTCCACTTAATGCTTGTATAGTTAATGCTACCCTAAGTAAAAGATTTCAACAAATAGTATGAAGAGAAAACAAAACACAGCAAAACAAAATACTGTTCCTCAATGAAGGAGACAAGGGCTATAAACCGTCACTGATTCTCAAAATGTCTATTTCACTTCAACATTATATTTCAGGTACTCTTTTCATTGCCTTTGATCAGGGAAAACATATGATATCTGTCTATTTTGGACTGGCTTATTTCATTAAGCATAATGGTTTCCAGTTGCAATCATCTTATTGTGAAAGAGAAGATTTCATTTTTATGAAATCCTTTTACAGAGAATTTCATTATTTTACTCCACAGTGTATATATACCATAATTTCTTTATCTAGTCATCAGCTGATGGACATCTGGCTTGATTCCATATCTTGGCTGTTGTGAAGCTGCAGTGATCATGGGGGTACACATAAGTCTTTCGTGACTGCGTTTGGTTTGGGTAAATTCCCAGGAGTGGGATGGCTGGATCATATGGTAGCTCTATATGCAGATTTCTGAGGTATCTCTATCTCCATACTGTCTTCCGCAGTGGTTGCACCAGTTTATCTTCCCACCAACAAAGTATCAGAGTACCTTTTTTCCTACATCTTTGCCAGCATTTGTCATTTGTTGATTTCTGTATGTGGGCCATTCTAACTGGAGTGAGGTGAAACCTCTTTGTGGTTTTGATTTGCATTTCCCTGATGGCTAGTGATTCTGATCATTTTCTCAAGTGTCTATTGGACATTTGAATTTCCTCTCTTGAAAAATGCCTGTTCATCCTTTGCCCATTTCTTAACTGAATTGTTTGTTTTGTTGTTGTTTGTTAAGTTTCTTATTCATGAAAGTCAACAGCTGGAATAAAGTTAAAAGTTCATCAGCAGTAGAATGGATAAATTATCACGGCTTTATAAAAAGGAATAATACATGTTAATAAAAATGTACTATTGCTGCATGTAGTGGCATGCGTTAATTATATAAACATAAAAAAGTCAGACTCTTTGACCAACTGCTTTATATCATTACTTCTTTATTTATAATCAGGACACCCCTGGAAGTCTCCAGAACACTTTTAGGAAATGTGTTAGGTTAGAACTGTTTTTATAATGCTATTAAAGCTTTTATGTGTGTGCCTTTTTCTCTGTTATTCTCTCATTTGCATTGAGCAGTAGTTTCCCAGAGGCCATATGACTTGTTATTGTAAATGATTGAATGCAGAAGCAGATATGAGAAGCCAGATGCCTCTCTTAAGCCAGACATTAAAGAAATCTTCACAGTATAAAACATCTTCATGATTTTTTTTCTTAGGAAATGCTGACATATTATTTATGATACATTTAAAGAGTTTATCATTGTTATTTTAAGTCATGTATTTTTATATTATCTGATATTTAATATTGATTAGCATAAATGATCCACATAAACAAAAACGCTCAGTTTAATAATTTTTATTTTATTTTATTTTTTTATTTTTTGACAGGCAGAGTGGACAGTGAAAGAGAGAGAGAGACAGAGAGAAAGGTCTTCCTTTTGCCGTTGGTTCACCCTCCAATGGCTGCTGCGGCTGGCGATCCGAAGCCAGGAGCCAGGTGCTTCTCCTGGTCTCCCTTGCAGGTGCAGGGCCCAACGACTTGGGCCATCCTCCACTGCACTCCCGGGCCATAGCAGAGAGCTGGACCGAAAGAGGGGCAACCTGGACAGAATCCAGCGCCCTGACCGGGACTAGAACCCCGAGGTGCCGGCGCCACAGGCAGAGGATTAGCCTATTGAGCCATGGCGCCGGCCAGGAGTTTAATAATTTTTAAGAGTGTAAAAGAGTCCTAAAACCACAAAGTGTGAGACATGCTTGTAGAAGCAGGATAGTTAGTTACCTTTGAGTTAGGTAAGGTGGGATTACTCAGCTATAAAAAAGAATGAAATCCTGTCTGTCATAACAAAATGAATGCAACTAGAAACTATTTAGGGCCGGATTCTGTCCCGGTCACTCCTCTTCCTGTCCAGCTCTCTGCTGTGGCCCAGGAGTGCAGTGGAAGATGGCCAAGTGCTTGGGTCCTGCAACTGCATGGGAGACCAGGAGAAGCACCTGGCTCCTGGCTTCGGATCAGCGTGGTGCGCCAGCCACAGCACGCCAGTTGCGGCGGCCATTGCGGGTGAACCAATGGCAAAAGGAAGACCTTTCTCTCTGTCTGTCTCTCACTGTCCACTCTGCCTGTCAAAAAGAAGAAGAAGAAAAAAAAAAGAAACTATTTAGTGAAATAAGCCAGTCCCAAAGAGACAAATATGTTTTCCCTGATCTGTGGTAACTAATAAAGTACAAAAAATGTGATGTGTATGAGTGAAATTGACATTTTGATATTTGATTATTTTTACAACCCTTGTCTCTGCTGTTGAGAAACGGTGTTTTTTTTCTTTTTCCCATTTACTATTTGTTGAATTCTTTACTTAGTGGAGGGTTAAGCTTATAACTATAAAATAAACTGAAAGTATGTTATTGTGAAAATTAAAAGAGGCCGGTGCCGTGGCTCAATAAGCTAATCCTCCACCTGTGGCACTGGCACACCGGGTTCTAGTCCCGGTCGGGGCGCCGGATTCTGTCCCGGTTGCCCCTCTTCCAGTCCAGCTCTCTGCTGTGGCCCGGGAGTGAAGTGGAGGATGGCCCAGGTCCTTGGGTCCTGCACCCGCGTGGGAGACCAGGAGAAGCACCTGGCTCTTGGCTTCGGATCAGCGTGGTGTGCTGGCCGCAGCGCACTGGCCGCAGTGGTCATTGGAGGGTGAACCAACAGTAAAGGAAGACCTTTCTCTCTGTCTCTCTCTCTCTCTGTCCACTCTGCCTGAAAAAGAAAAAAAAATTAAAAGAAAGAATAAGAAAGGAAGGGAGGGTTGGAAGTATCACTGTGCTCCTAAATCTGTATATATGAAATACATGAAATTTGTTCACCTTATATAAATAAAACAATTTTTTTTAAAAGATGAGACTCATGATTGGACTGGGGTACATGGAGACTTTCTAGAATGTTAATAACATTCTCTACAAGCAAAGAGTACATTGGTATGCTCACTTTTTTTAAATAGCCTTTAAAAGTTGTATATGATTATGATATTTATATTATACACTCATATATGTATGTGTCCTATATAACGTTTTCAAAGTGTCTGTTGATATTCATAGCCTACCACATGACACCAAGAATTTGTTATGTTACCATGATAGTCCTGTACTGAGTAGATGTCATTAACTTTTTTTATTATAAAGATTTATTTATTTATTGGGAAGAGTTACAGAGAGAGGGGGAGAGAGAGAGATCCTGTCTGCTGTTTCACTCCCCAAGTGGTCATAATGGCCAAAGTGGAGCGAGGCAGAATCCAGGAGCCAGGAGTTTCTTCTGGGTTTCCCACGTGGATAGCAGGGTGGATGGCACAAGCATTTTTGTGCCATCATTCGCTGCTTTCTCAGGTGAATTAGCTGGAAGCTGAATCGGAAGTGGAGCAGCCAGGACTGGAACTGGTGCCATAATGGGGTACCAGCATTGCAGGTGGCAGCTTTACCTGCTTCACCACAATGCCCGCACCATCAACTTTGTTTTTAACAGGGTTGCACATTGGTTCATTTTCTATATAATCAAATCTGTATTGCTTGGTTTCCTGCTGTATCCACAGAAAAGCTAGACTGTTCATGAATTATTTTTTCTGACACATTATTTATCACCCATGTAGGAAGAATCCTGTTCATTTTCAACACTTCAGCCACCCTGGTGATAGTGATTATGGAGATGCACAAGTTACGGGCCAAGAGGAGACTGATGACCGGCCGGAGTGTCCCTATGGAGCATCTTGTTACAGGTGTGTGAACTGGAATGTTTGGCTGTACTTCTCTCCCCAATTTCTGCTATTTATCCAAAAAAGCAGTTTCTCTCTCAAGCCTTTATCTTTTAGCTTTTAACCTTTCATAAGTGACAGATTTTCATTTTGGTAATAGGTAGGATTATGTTTCTTTTAAATAACACCATGTTGGTGAGTTATTAATCTTATAAGCGCCTGAAATTGTTCCTCATTTCTAGCTTGCTAAAATGCAAATAGGATCATTTTAAAACCATTGTACTTGAAATGTACCACACCACCAAAGAAAGAAGTAGTGATTCTGACATTTGAGAGCCTTAACTCTGGACAGCCATCTTTCTTAGATAACTGTGAATTCAGAATCCTGAACCAACTGGCCTCTTTGGAGACTTTGCTATTTCTGTGATTATGATTTTCAATAATAAGGCAACATAAGCTTCTGGTCGTGGAAAGAAAACTCAAAATGCTTACAACTTACCATTTGAGAAGTAACTATTCCGTTAGAGCAGAACATTCTGCAGATAGTAAGAGGAACTATGATAAACTTTGCAATGAGCTTGAAAGTATAGAAGTAATTAACAAATACCTAGAAAAATACAACTTTCAAGACAGAAACAAGAAGAAAAAGAAAACTGAGTAATCTATAACATTGGAGAATTGAATACATAAATAAAAGTCTTCCACCAAAGAAATTACAAACCCATTTGGCTTTCATGGCAAATTCTACCAAACATTTAAAGAAAGAGAACCCAATTTTATATAAACTATTCCAAAGAAAGTAAAATTAAGTGTATCTTCCACCTTATGAGGCCAGCATAACCTTGAAACTGAAACCCATCAAGAATAATACAAGAATGAAAAAATTAAAGGATAAGCTTAAATTTTGAACTTAAATATAAATTTCCTGTATAAAAAGATTAAGTGAATCTTGCAATAATTGAAAAGGAAAATATAGTATGACCAAATAGGGTTTATTTAAGGCATTTATGTTTTATTTAAGGTTAAAAGATAGTATAATTTGGCGTGTTGTTGGAATAAGTAGGAAAGTAATATGGTCTCTTGCAAATGATTAGAATAATAATAAAAAAACCTGATAAAAATCAGCATCCCATTAACAGAGGACAGGTTCAAGTCCTGGCATCTCCTCTTCCAATCCAGATTACTGTGAGTGCATTGGGAGATAACAATGCCCACATGGGAGATCTGTACATAGTTCCAGACTTCTGGCATAGGCCTGTCCCAGACCTGAACATTACAGACATTTGCAGGGTGAACCAGCAAGTGGATGCTTTCTCTCTCTATTGTTCTGCCTTTTGAGAAGATGAAAACAAATAAACATTTAGAAAAATAAAAACCAGCATTCATTTTTGATGAATATGCATTACAAAATAGAAATAGAAGGGAACTCCTTAATATAAAAATTATCTACAAAAATGCTTATAGAAAATATTATGCATAGAAGTAAAGTATCTAAAATTTCCTTTCAGAAATGAGACAAAAATGCCTATTACTATGACTTCTGTCCATAATTGTACTTATAAGGCAGTGTAGTAAGACAAGAAAAAGAAAGTAGATAAGGATTAGAAAAGAAGAAATGAATCTTCAGTGTTTACAGATGGTATTATTTTTATATGTAGGAAATACAGAATAGGCCACTGATGAATTATAAATGTTAATGAGTGCTTAGCAGTGTTGTTAGTTTTAAAAATCAATACATAACATCAATCTATGTTCTTATGACAACCAGTTGGAAAATAAAATTTTCTAGAGATTGTAACAACATCAAAAAATATCCAGTTCCTAGGAGTAACTATAATCAATCCTCTGTGGAGAAATGATAAAACCTTAATGAGAAATATTTTCCACAAGGAGTTAAATAATTATAAAAATTTAAATGTTCATTATTGAAATACTCAAGATTGTTAAAATGTAGGGGCAGACATTAGGGACCGTAGTTAAGACACTTGTTGGCAGACCTGGATCGAGTTCCTGCCTCCCAGGCATTTGGAGAGTGAGCCAGCATCTCAGAAAAGAAAAACAAAAGATGAAAAATTGCCATTTTCCCCAGGTTGATTTGTATACAAACCCATTCAACCACAGTAGCTTTTGAATAGAAAAAATAGTCATGATAATATTTTTTCATATATATACCTTTTTTAAAAATTTTGTTTAAGGAATACAACTTCATGCATTTAATATATACAGATTTGGGAACATGATACTTACCCCCTACTTCCCTCCCACCCATACTCCTGCCTTTCTTCCTCTTCCCTCTTCCTTTCCCATTTTTATTTTTTACAGAGATTAATTTTCAGTTAATTTTTATACTCATAAGATTAACCCTACACCAGGTAGAGAGTTAATCAATTAATATGAAGAAAAAGAAGTAAAAAACAAAAGGAAACAAGCATACAAGAAAAACATTGTTCCCTGACAGTCAAGGCAAGGGCTGTTCAAAATCATTGCATCTCAAAGTGTCAGTTTCACTTCCAAAGATCACATTTTAAGTACTCTATTAGTTACCACAGATCAGAGAGACCATATAGTATTTGTCCTTTTGTGTCTGGGTTATTTCACTAAGTATAGTGGTTTCCAGTTGCATCCATTTCTTTTTGGAAATGGCAGAATTTCTTTTTTTTTATTGCTGTATAGTATTCTGTAGTGAATATATAACAGAATTTCTTTAGCCAGTCTTCAGTTGATGAACATCTGGGTTGATTCCATAAATTAGTTATTGTAAATTGAGCTGAGGGGTACAGATAACTCTTTAATTTGCTGATTTCATTTCTTTTGGATAAATCCCCAGGAGTGGATGGATGGATCATATGGTAGGTCTATATTCAGCTTTCTGAGGTATCTCCATACTATCTTCCACAGTGGCTGTACCAGTTTACATTCCCACCAACAGTGGATTAAGGTAGCGGTAGCCTTCTCCCCACATCCTTGCCTGCATTTGTTGTTTGTTGATTTTTGTATGTGAGCCATTCTAACGGTGAGGTGAAACCTCATTGTGGTTTTGATTTGTGTTTCCCTGATGGCTAGCTATCCTGAGCATTTTCTCATGTGTTTATTGGCCATTTGAATTTCCTTTCTTGAGAAATATCTGTTCAGTTCCTTTGCCAATTTCTTAATTGGATTGTTTTGTTTTGGTTGAGTTTCTTGAGTTCTTTATAAGTTTTGGAAATTAGTCCTTTGTCAGTTGCTTTGTTTGCAAATATTTTCTCCTATTTTGTCAGTTGCCTCTCTTCACTTTGCTGAGTATTTCTGTCTAGTGCAGAAGCTTCTCAGTTTGAAATTTCTCACTTGTTAATTTTGGCCTTGATTACCTATGCTTCTGGAGTCCTTTTTAAGAAGTCTTTCCATATTTCAATGTCTTGTAGGGTTTCCCCAATGTTCTCTAGTAATTTGATGGTATCATGTTGTGGATGTATGTCTTTGATCCATTTTGAGTGGATTTTTGTATAAGGTGTGAGATAGGGGTCTTGTTTCGTACTCTGCATGTGGGGATCCAGTTTTTCCAGAATCGTTTGTTGAAGAGACTGTCTTGGCTCCAGGAGTTGATATTTGCTCCTTTGTCAAAGATAAGCTGGTTGTAGATATGTGGATTTATTTCTGGGGTTTCTATTCCGCTCCATTGGTCTACATGTCTGTTTTTGTGCCTGTAACAGACAGTTTTGATTATAACTGCCCTGTAGTATGTCTTGAGGTCTGGTGTTGTAATACCTCCAGCTTTGTTTTTGCTTTTTAATGTTGTTTTTAGCTATTTGGGGTCTCTTGTGTTTCCATATGAATTTTAGCATCATTTTTTCTGTATTTGAGAAGAATGTTTATGGTATTTTGATTGGCCTCACATCGAATCTATAAATTGCTTTTGGCAGTATGGACATTTTGATGATGTTGATTCTTTCAATCCATGAACATGGAAGATTTTTCTACTATTTTATGTCTTCTATTTCTTTCTTTAATGTTTTGTAATTTTCATCATAGAGATCTTTGAAGTCCTTGGTTAAATTTATTCCAAGGTATTTAAATTTTTTGTAGATATTGTGAATGGGATTGATAAATTCTTTCTCAGCCATGGCATTGTCTGTGTATACAAAGGCTATAGATTTTTGTGTGTTGATTTTATATCCTGCCACTTGATCAAACTCTTTTATGAGTTCCAATAATCTCTTAGTAGAGTCTTTTGGATCCCCTGCATATAGAATCATGTCATCTGCAAATAGGGATAGTTTGACTTCTTTTTTTTTTTTTTTTTTTGACAGGCAGAGTGGACAGTGAGAGAGAGAGACAGAAAGGTCTTCCTTTGCCATTGGTTCTCCCTCCAATGGCTGCCGCGGCCCACGCGCTGCAGCCGGCGCACCGCGCTGATCCAATGGCAGGAGCCAGGTACTTATCCTGGTCTCCCATGGGGTGCAGGGCCCAAGTACTTGGGCCATCCTCCACTGCACTCCCTGGCCACAGCAGAGAGCTGACCTGGAAGAGGGCAACCGGGACAGAATCTGGCGCCCCAACCGGGACTAGAACCCGGTGTGCTGGCGCTGCAAGGCGGAGGATTAGCCTAGTGAGCTGCGGCGCCGGCCAGTTTGACTTCTTCCTTTCCTATTTGTATCCCTTTGACTTCTTTTTCTTGCCTGATGGCTCTGGCTAAAACTTCCAGGTCTATATTAAATAGCAGTGGTGGGAGTAGGCATCTTCATCTGGTTCTGGATCTAATTTTTCCCTATTCAGTAGGATGCTGGCTGTGGTTTTGTTATAAATCGCTTTGATTATGTTGAGGAATGTTACTTCTATACCCAATTTGCTTAAGGTTTTCAACATAAAAGGGTGTTGGATTTTGTCAAATGCTTTTTTTTTCATCTATTGAGATTATCATGTGGTTTTTGATCTTCAGCTTGTTAATGTGGTTAATCACATTTATTGATTTTCAGATGTTGAACCATCCCTGCATACCAGGGATAAATCCCACTTGATCTGGGTGAATGATCTTTCTGATGTGTTAT